TAAGTAACTCCTTTATTATTCATGTCCGAGCAAAACTTTACTTGTATTCAGTCCATGTCTGATAAGAATGGCATGAAAGCAAGCACTGTGCATGTGCAAGGTGTAGATATACAGCACACAGTATTTTTTTTTCTGTAGAACATTTTTTTTCCTATCTAGCCCACCGCTAAGAGGTTTGTTGGACACTTTGCAAAGCAGAAGGGGCACAACCCCATCTAGTGAAAAGGATGTTACAGCGAGTATAAAAATCTAATTCACTCCCATTGTTCACTTAGACCAGGGGTAGGCAACCTTGGCTCTCCAGCTGTGCTGAAACTACAAATCACATCATGCTTCTGCCTCTGGGAGTCATGTCTGTGGCTTGCAATGCCTTATGGGGTTTGTAGTTTCAGCACAGCTGGAGAGCCAAGGTTGCCTACCCCTGACTTAGACTAAAGGTGCCCATGCACCTGCCGATTGTCGTACGATAATCGGCAGGTGTGCGACCGTTTCTACTGTAAGGTCGCATGTCTTTAGTCTCCCGAGCAGGCTTGAAAACCCGAGAATCATACGATTTTCGGCAGGTTAGTGGCATTCTAGGGAGACAAATGCCGCATGGGCCGCTGTGCGCACACTGCCCGCTCAGCATTGGAATCAGCGGGGCGGGCTTGCGATGATCGCAAGTACGATCTGCCTGTCCAAGATGGGCAGATCGTACAAGCTTTTAATTACCTTACAACCATCGCAGGATGAAAGTCGTGCGATGGTTGTAAGGTGTATGGGCAGCTTTAGGGTGGCCATTTCTCCAACACATAGAAGCGTGTCGATCGAGGAATCCTGCTGTTTGCATTGTATTTTGACAGCGGCCACCAGCCACTGTCAGAATGCCCGATGAGAGCAGGTAGCTCATTGGCTACTCGCTCCTATCATGCGAAAATGTTCTGTCCAACTCCATCGATCAGCTGATCGAAAGGGTGCCGACAGCAGCACACACTGTGCGAATTTCGTCCGGTTCCTCAAAAAATGGCCGAAATTCAGTGTATGGCCACCTTTAGGCTCCGGTGGATGAATGCAGTGACAAGGCGTGAAAAAGGAAGGTGCACCTTCCTGCAGGGAAGACTTCACCTTGCAAATCTGTGGGAAAGTGCATTCTTGATGTTCTGGTTCAGGGAAGCCCCAAAATGACGTTTCCTCAGACCGGAAGTTGACCTAGGGATATTCTAAAGGCCTGGTCCACAGACCAACGTTTGAGTAAAACATATCCTTCTTAAGGTGCCCACACTGCACGATTCTCGTACGAGAATCGTGGGAAATCCCGCGATCGTACGAGAATCGTGCAGTGTATGGAAGGCGTGCAACCGTTTCTACTGTACGGTCGCACGTCTTCCGTCGAACCAGCATGCTAGAAAACCCGCCGGGATATCGTACGATTCTCGGCGAGTTAGTGGCCTGCTGGTTCGACAACTGCCGAACGGGCCGGTGTGCGCACGCGCACACAGCCCGTTTTCAGTCATTGTAAGCCCGCCCCTCATTGCAGTCATCGTAAGCCCTCAGGGGGGCGGGCTTGCGATGATCGAGAGTACGAATTGCCTGTCCAAGATGGGCAGATCGTACGTTTTTTTAAGTACTTTACAACCATCGCAAGACTAAGGTCTTGCGATGGTTGTACAGTGTATGGCCACCTTAAGGATCACAGCAGTGGAGAGAATTGTGTGAAATTTAAGGTCCATTGATCTGTTATGGTACCATGCATGCAGCAAGGTCACTCCCGTGATGGACTATAATCTCACATTTAGTTTGTAATTTGTATTGAGATTGTAGTCCATCACAGGAGTGAGCTTGGAGCCGTGGCTACTTTACAACACACACAGGGACCATGGAGAACAAAAGTAGCCACCCTCCAGAAGGATGGACAGTGTCAGCACAACTTCAGAGATGATTTGAGGATCTAAGGCTGAGTTATGCACAAATTAAGTACATTTTTGTTAAAGTGACATTAAAGTATAAAAAAAAATTCCCTCCCCCCCTATTGCTAGTGTAAGCACTTACCTTAAATGATGTCTCTTAAGGTGCCCATACACTGCTCGATTCTCGTACGAGAATCGCGGGAAATCCCGCGATCGTACGAGAATCGAGCAGTGTGAACGAAGACGTGCGACCGTTTCTACTGTACGGTCGCACATCTTTTGTCTAAGGAGCACGCTAGAAAACCGGACGAAAATCGTACGATTTTCGACTGGTTTGAACGGTGCTCGGGAGACAAATGGCGAACGGGCCGGTGTGCGCACGCGCACACTGCCCGTTCAGCATTGCGGTCATCGGAAGCCCGCCCCTCAGGGGGGCGGGCTTGCGATGATCGAGAGTACGATCTGCCTGTCCAAGATGGGCAGATTGTACGTTTTTTAAATCACTTTACAACCTTCGCAAGACTAAGGTCTTGTGATGGTTGTAAAGTGTATGGCCACCTTTAATCTGATCATCTTCTTGTTGTTTCCTGTCGTTTTCAGATGTCCCTCCAGCACTGCTGCGGGTCTCCGATCCAGCGCTGACTCCTCTGTGCTTGCTGGTACTTCCTGTCCCAAGGAGTCTGCATGCAAGTGCACGCTGTCCATACTTACCTTGCGTCTCTCCTCGTCTCCCGGGCGGAAATCTGAACTGCGCATGTGCCCGCCCCAGGATCCTTTGCGGCCGCCCGAGATTTTTCAGATGTTCGGATGGGAGCGCAGGCAAGTTTTAAACTCTTAAAACTTTAAAAAAATAAGTTTTTGCATATATCTACAGCTTGCTAGCAGTACATGTATGCAAAAAACCTGAGGGTTTAATAACCCTTTAATAGCTAAAAAGGTACTTTAATGCATTTTTGAGATTTAACTCCTGAATTTAATGTCACTTTAAGGGATCCACCTTTATGGTGGGATCTGAACTTATGTAAATAGAATAGGATTTAGCAAGATTCTCAAGAATCTGTACCTGAACTATTAACAAAAATGTATCTTATTTGTGAATCACTCAGCTGTAGATCCTCAAATCGTCTATTGGTGCCGATAGTGTCCTTCCTTCTGGAGGGTGGCTGCTTGTGGTCCCCGTGTGTGTTGTAAAGTAGCCACCGCTCCAAGCTCACTCCTGTGCTGGACTACAATTTCATGTTTAGATTACTAATTTGTATTGAGATTATAGTCCAGCACAGGTGTGAGCTTGGAGCTGTGGCTACTTTACAACATACAGGGATCACTAAGAACAAAATTAGCTTTCTTTCAGAAGAAAGGACAGTGTCAGCATGAATTCAGAGATGATTTGAGGATCTACAGCCGAGTGATACACAAAGATACATTTTTGTTAGTTAAGGTATGTGAATGCATTTTTAATTTAACTCCCGAGTTTAGTGTTACTTTGATGGTAGAATTCAAAGCAAGCATTTACCTGCCTTCAGTTTAGCTGCACTTAGAGAAAATAGAATTCTGTGAAACCAGGATCCGATTAGAATAAATGTAACTAACACGTGTAAATGCGCATAAACCGCTAAACCCAGAAAAAGGCAGGTACAACTAAGCGCAGGAGAAAGTTATCTGGGAAGCATAGTTTATAGCTCCCAGTTAATTTCTCTTGGGTATAAGGGCAATATCTAGGAACAAACAACCATCTCCACTGCAAGGGTTAGCTGCTAGTTTAGTTCTAGGATAGCTGTGTAAAGGACTTTTACTTACTTGATCCCCTTACTCCAAAACCAGAATCCACAGCTTCTTCCACTCTGCACTCCAGCAGTCAGAGGCCTGTTGAGGTAATCACATACAATGCAGGGCCCATAATCCTGCATTAAGGTGCCCGCACACCTTGCGATAATCGCGGGAAATCCAGCGATCGTACGATTATCGTAAGGTGTGTGGGAGCCATGCAACCTCTACTACTGCAAGGTCGCACGACTTTTATCTTAGGAACATGTTAGAAAATCCACCGAGAATCGTACGATTTTCGGCGGGTGTGTAGCATGTTCGTAAGATAAAAGCCGGACGGGCCAGTGTGCGCTTGCGGTCATCGGAAGCCCGCCCCTCGGGGGGGCGCGGCTTGCGATCATCGCAAGTACGAGCTGCCTGTCCAAGATAGGCAGATCGTACGTTTTTTAAATTACCTTACAACCATCGCAAGACAAAAGTCTTGCGATGGTTGTAAGGTGTGTGCCCAGCATTAGACGTGAGGACCTTGATGTACAATCCACAGCGTACGCAAGACTGAAAGAGCTCCAACTGCTGGTGCTCTCATCCGCTGCACAAAACGCAGAATGGCTGATGTGAATGTAGCCCTTTACCGCCTAAACATTTTCCCATTCTCTCTTGTAAATACCTGAATGTCCATCTGTCCACAGGTTGACTTTTAGGGCCCATCCACACCTTAGCATTATGGACGAGAGTTAACTTGTATTGTTATGGCACCAAAACGAACAATCACCATTTCTAGCAACACAACATACAGGCATGCGTTTACTTAGTGCTTGGGATGCCATTAAAAACAAATGGCACAGCACCACACTAATACATATCTGGTGAGTCACCACGCATTTCCTCAAGCGCTGGCTGCATTTTGTTGCAGCATAGTACAGCACAGGTGCATTGGGTTGTCATTCAAAATGAAGCACACAGACGCACACACAACTACATGATGCAAGAACGTGCATTGTATTACAAACACAATTCCATAATGTGACCCGGCTGTATTCACAGCTATACATGTTATCAGCAGAAAATGTATAGCGGTGACTGAAATCTAAAACAGGAAAAAAAAAAAAAGGCCTAAGCAAACTTTGTACATATTCAAAAGGAAACCTTACTAGCGTTTGGCAGAACATTTAATTTCCAAAGTTAAAGACAGGAAACATGAGAAATATAACAACTTGTGATAGATCACGATAGTCTCCTGTAAACTTTGTTGGACAGTCCATGCGTAACAAGTCCACAATCCTAACAGGATCAACACAGGGATCGGTCAGGGCAGAAACAGTCTCGGGTAAAAGGCGCCACGGTCTGAATGGAGGATCTGGGGAAGAAGCGCTCAGTAGCAGAGCAGTGTCCTCCGTGCAGCTTCCGGTGTGGGTCCCCTTGCAGCTTCCCACGCCTCGCTCAGCCCCCGGAGCTCAGGAATCGTCTGGCTTGTCCACGGGCGGCCCGCACGGCTGCAGCATCTTCTCCATCAGGTTGAAGCGCACTCGGGCTTTGCTTTCGTTCTCCGCCACGGCGAAGTAGTTGAGCAGGTCGTAGTGTCCCATGTAGGAGCAGTACGAGTCCCTGTGCTGGTTGACCAGCCATTCCCACTTTGTGGTGTCCGCATGGCCCGTGCCGATGTACTTGGACTGCAGATGCTCTAGCTGGCTGTGAATGGTGTATCTGTCCGTCATGGCGCCTCAATCACCCGGCGAGCAACAAGCGTTACGAAAGGTATAGCGACTAGTTCCTATTCTGCAGATTGCCCTGTGATGTCACAGGAAACATGTGACCAGGAAGCAGGAAATAGTGGGCGGGAAAATCTAATGAATAGGAGCTGCTATACAGTGGGAAGGAGGCTTCAAGCTGATCAGTGTTTTTTCCCCAGTAGGTCTCCCTCTCTTCTCCTTTCACTCCCTTCTGTCCATTTTTTTTTACATTATATCATCTGTGTCTTTTTCTCTGTATACCCTCTCGCTCTCTCTGCATACCCTCTCTCTCTCTCTTTGGGGAACTAGTCGCAACCAAGGCCTCAAACCTTCGGGTCTGTAATCAAAGCGAAAGTTACGTAAAGGGAAACACGAGCACGAAGGCTTCCGTCACGCTAAGCATGACTGTTAATTACGGCTCTCTAATACCCGTTACAAAACAACACGTCATTTTCCTGCTAGGTGCGCAGACAGATATGATTAAAAAACATACAATATACTTTGGTTATGTACATTATTTTGGGAATACGAGTTTTCCAGGCACAAATACCACCTACTCTATGACCAGGAAGAATGCGTGCGAGGCATTGTGGGAAAAGTGAAGTGTTTGGGTGATGATAGAGTTGTGTGGAAGGGGAAGTTGCTCAGTCATGTGATTGTCACATACCACCAAACTTTACAACCACCAAACTTTACAATCACCAAATGAAGGAAAGTGGACGTGGTTACACGATACTGAATAATTAACATGGTTTAACCCTTTCACTGTGGATCTTTTTATAACGTATATACACGTGCTAAAACACTTTATGGAATCAAAGGACTATTAGAATAAAACTGTGTTTGTTAAAATGTTTTATATTGTTCACATATTTGCACAGCTGTTTATGAAATATATATTTTCAGTAAATGAAAATACCATAAAATTAATATGGGGGCATACAAATATGATTAAACTTCAAAATTGTTTGTAAAATATAAAAGGATAGACTGTCAAGTAAATTGATAACATACGTCAATCTTTAAAATTACATTCCCTGCAAAAGCAAAACAAACTACAACAAAAATAGTTGTCAAGTATCCATACGCCGCCGGAATGAAACATGTATGCGTCCTGGCCAGAAAACCCGTACCCCTACGGACCTGCAAATGAGGTGAGTGTAGGGGGGCGTACGGCCGCGTAGCCCCATAGAGAAGGACGGGGGCTGCGTTCTAATCACACGCAGCACCTGTCCTTCCCGGCAGCTACTTGGTACGGCCCCGCACGCAGCACAGAGCTGTATGTGACGGCCGATTCGTGTGTGAATGAGGCCTAGTAGATATGTGGATGGGGGGTTGTAAAGAGGTCATAGATATGTGGCGGGAGGGCTGGGGGGGGGGTAGTAGTTGTGTACAGCTATTTCATGCTTTTTCTTGTAATTAGACAAGTGGATTATAATGGGGAATATTACACTGTAATGTTCCCTATTATAATCTATTTCTATGATTAAAGGTAGGCATGTGATCTATCAAAGTTTGAGACTACGTTAGAATGTGTGACCAGTGACGTGGTCACACATTTTCTCGCCCAGTTTTTCGGTGGTGGAATAGGTGAAGAATTCCAACGCTTTAATTTTTTGGTGCAACTGACTAATTTTATTTTGAAGGCATGTTTAAATACAATTAAAATTATTAAATCAAAACAATCTAAAATATAAACAATCAACGTCCGTCCCCCCCCCCCCCAGCGGGCCACGGTAAAATTATCAAACGTTGACCGATACGCGGGGATAAAAAGGTTGGGGAGCACTGTGTTACATGATGTAAGTGGGTCTTAGGTGTGCTTATTTCTCTTTCGTTCTTCGAAGGACACAGTGGAGATCTTCAGATCGTGACCATCTTCACAAGTCATTGTCTTCAAATTTATATTTAGGAGGATTAGGCCTGGGACTGATTTCCAGTTCATTTATTGAACTCATCACAAAATCCAGAAAATGCTAACTATAATCTGAACACCACTGAAGTCAAGGAGAATCTTGAAAACCAATTCTGGCAATTTTCAAAGCAAATAGGCAAGGGACTGTTAAACTAAGGGCATGGGCAAGCTGGGCACTGCCATGGGGAACAGTACCAATACAAAACCAAAAAATAGTTCAGCAGTGAGAGGGTACTCCTTTTATGCATCTTTGAGGGCCAAATGACCAAAAATGTAAACCTGGTCTCCCCTGCTAATCTAGGGTTGCCACATGTCCAGGATTCACCCAGACAGTCCGGTTTTTGAGTCCTGTGCCCGGGTTTAAGGCCAGCTGACACCTGGACACTTTACATTTTTGACAGGTGTCTGGAAGACAGAAGAGGAGATGTGCAGGCCCGCGGCTCACAGGAAGGCTGCTGAGGTCCCCAGCAAGCGCGGGACCTTGGCAACCTTCCTGCAATACACAGGCACATGTAAACAGGCGCTGGACTGCACATTTCCTCCTATGTCTTCCTGACACCACGCTGCCCACCTTCAGACCCCTGGTGAGACACCGCACAGCACTCCTAAAAGTCTGCATAGCCACCTGAGAGCCCACACAGCCACTTGAAAGCCCACATAGCCCATCTGAGAGCCCGCACAGCCCACCTTAGAGCTCACACAGCCCACCTCAGAGCCTCCACAGCTCATCTGAGAGTCTGCAGAGTCCATCTGAGAGCCAACACAGCCCTGGTGAGAGCCCACACAGGCCACCTGAGACATCAGGGAGCCACCCTGGAACAACACATATGTCACTTGATATTAATTTTGTATTGCTGTATAATGTATTGCTGGAACTTTTAGTCCTCTACATCCGGTCTCCTTACTCCCTCCCCTCTCTGCCTATCCTCGCTCTCTCCTCTATAGGTTTCAAAAAAAGAAAATTGATCGTTCGTGTTTCACTTGAAGAAAAGGTGGCAACCCTATGCTAACCCATTCATTGCTTAGTGGTACATTGGTGCACAGGAAGATTACCGCTTATCTCCAAATCCAGGACAAAGCAATCAATCCAGCACTTGATTTCAGATTCCAATAATTAATTCTCCACATTTTTTTCTGTTCCTGAATCCTTGCCTAGGCAAGGATGTTATTTATATGGTCTCCCACTGACTTCTGGGATGTCTATGTCACACATCCCAGGAGCCAGTATCGAAGTGTTTCAACCATGAGATCCCTCTGCAAGTCTATGCCAGGGCGATCCCTGAGGTTCCCCGTGTATTCACATGCTGCTGACCATCTGTTCCAGGGCTACCTTTTGTTCACAGCGCACAAGTTTTACTCATTAAAACTGTCCTTTTGCTGGACAGTTTTTTCACTACTTGATCATCTGGGGGGTCTCTTAATTCTTGTAGGAAAACAGCTGCCTGCCCCCTGTGTCTCTAGTACTTTTTGTCTGATCTTGGTTATTAAAACTGTGTTGGCGCTGGTCAATTTGTGCACTTCTTTATCATCTGGGCTAACTTAATTCTTGTAGGAAAACATCTGCCTTTGTCCCTGCTACATTTTGGCCTAGTCTTTCTCAATAAAGCTGCATGCTGCTGGCCATTTTTTTCTACTGCTTTATCTTCTAATTCTTGTAGGATACACCATCCTGTGTCTCTAGCACATTTTAGCCTAGTCTTGCTCAATAATACTGTCCTGCTTCTGGACAATTTTTTTTCACTGCTTTATCATCTGCTTTATCATTTTTAGTAAAATTCCTGCCTGTGCCCTGTGTCTCTAGTGCAGTTTGCCTACTCTAGCTAAAAACTGTGCTGCCGCTTGCCAATTACACTGCTGTACCAGCTGCAATCTTTAATTTCATAATGAGAGCTTAATAGAAATTGGCCAGTGGTAGGACAGGAGAAAGGTGGCCATACACTTTACAACCATCGCAAGACCTTAGTCTTGCGATGGTTGTAAAGTAATTTAAAAAACGTACGATCTGCCCATGGACAGGCAGATCGTACTTGCGATGACCGCAATGCTGAACGGGCAGTGTGCGCTTGCGCACACCGGCCCATGCGGCATTGATCTTACGATCATGCTAAAAACCAGTAGAAAATCGTACGATTCTCGGCTGGTTTTCTAGCATGCTCCTTAGACAAAAGATGTGCGACCGTACAGTAGAAACGGTCGCACGCCTTCCATACACTTTGTGATTATCGTACGACCGTGGTATTTCCCGCGATTATCGTGCAATAATCGCGCAGTGTATGGGCACCTTAAGTAAGAACAGGGATGGAAACAATGAATTGCTGGCCAATTTCTGCCACTGGTCAGAGCAGGGCTATTACAGCTTGATGAAAAAGTATGTGTTGCTGCAAAAAATACCTTAATTATTTTTTTACTGAAATTAATCAATGCTGTATGTAACTCAGATAGTTGCAAAAGAAAAAAATATCAACTGCACAGTAAAATATTCCTGCAGGAGTTACCGAGTTACACTGTCTTTGAGGCTGTCCGTAAAATGTGTTCTGTTCCATTGCTCCACATACAGCTTTAAGGCACCTTTTAAGCCTGTAATTTTTGGATAAGGCTAGGGCTGCAACCAGTGGCGGACCTAATAACCAAAGGGCCCTGGTGCAAGATTTTATCTTGGGCCCCCCTCCCAAGATGATGGGGGGGGGGGTGCGCGGGAGCGGATCACACTGGCCCCCCCCTCCCAGCGGTCTCCAATGTTGCAGTGGCGTGCTGGACTTACCTGAGACCCTGCAGAGCACACCATAGATCCTGCATAGCCCATCTGAGACTCTCTATGGTGGACTCTGAGAGCCTCAGGCCCCGATGCGGTAGTTCCGCCACTGGCTGCAACAACTAATAGTTGGCAACAATTCTCATTATTGGTTAGTTGGGCAGGGGGGGGAAGAGATTGATTTTTAATGCAACCAATCGATTAGTTGAAAAAAAATAGATAACTAATCAATTATGAAAATAATCGTTAGCTGCAGACCTAGATAAGGCATAGTTACATAGTTACATAGTATTTGAGGTTGAATAAAGACATTAGTCCATCAAGTCCAAATTGGGGTGCAGGCAGCATACT